AATGGCGAACTGTGTGGGAATTCGGGAAGAAAACTTTCTCACGATCCTCAAACGACTATTTCCCCCTTAAAATTTTTGCTTGCGTGAGTTTATAGCCGAACTGTAATGGCATGCTGATGATGGTGATGGTTGCCGGTTGCCGCTTGCCGCTTGTTCGTTGCTGGCTGCTGGTGGTGTTGTTGCAAATGTTTCTGCTGGTGGTGGTTGTTGAATCTATTGAAATGTTATACCAAAGAGGAAATAAAGCACATTGTTAAAACAACAAAAGCACATTTGTTGCACTCACGTTTTGGACACGAACCCAATTGAATCCAATACCAATAAACACACGAAGATACGCAGCCAAACACGAGAGACTTTTATTTTGAACGACACGCCAGCGCACGAGTGTTTACCATAAAGTGAGATTCGTGTAGTTCATGGCTTGAAGTTGAATGTAGTTCACGCTCGGGTTATACGTTTTTGTAACGGAATTTAAATTTGGGGTGAGAATTATTACCATGTGTACACTTTAAAAAATGAGTGTAAATTTAAATGCGAAAATTTTAACAGTTTTGAGTAATTTTAATAAAATAAATAATAAGATTAATGTATTTTATTTTATATAATTGTAAAAAATATCAATATGAATACATTTTTAAATTTTTTTTTATATTTAATAACATAAAGAGGTTTTTCTAACAATAGTGAAATATAGCAACAAAAATTCATTTTATATTATTTTAGTTAATAAAATTTTTCGCTGACCATATAGCTGTTTCGAGTATTGTCAAATACCCATCATCAGTGGTCTTAGATATAATTCCTGTATTTAATTATTTATAAATAATTTTTATTTATTAATATAAATTAATTGTCATACTTTGCCATTATATTCAAAATCTGTAAACTATCAATTTATGAAAATATTGTTAACACAATGAGTTAACATGTTTATTTTTTATTTTACACATACACTATATAATATGTTTTATCTATATTTTATAATCTTTTGACTTTTCTATACATTCATGATATAAAAATGGCAAACAAACTTGCAAGAAGAGGTGCAGCCTTTTCTGTGGTCTAGATAAAGGATAGAGTATCCAGTCTTATGAACGGTGCAGAGGAAGAAAAAAGAGAGCTCTATTGGGAAATGCTACCAAGACTAAAATGCTTTTAGGGACTTACAACCAAAAACGCTTTAAAGATTGCATAGCACAATTAAAATACAACCTAAGAATTATTACGGGATTATTGACCGGTCACTGTAGATTAAATAATCACCTATCCAAGTGTAAAAACACGAAAAATTAAAATACGAAAATGCAACCATGAGTGTGCAAAAATAGCAAATCGAGCGTTTGACGTTTAAAAAAGGGAGTATGGCGAAATACGACGCGTAGAGTGGAGGTTTTTTTGGTTGCTTTGGAGCGAATGAAATAATATATATATTAAAAACTGCTACTATCAATATAATAAATAAACTAGGTTAAAATCTTAAAAGCTTTGTAAACTGTTTTATTTTACAATAACTTAACAAAAATCAGAAGTGGGATAAACAGCGCCTAGCCGAAACGTGTGAGTGTGTCCGTGGGAGCGCTAGCGCTTCAACACATTAACATGCGCGAAAGCGAAGTTAAGGTATAAAGAAAAACAAAACGAAACGGGAACGAAGTTTGTTGTTTATAAATTAACGGCGGTAATAAAATGAGAATGGTGAAGTTGAAGGATATGCGTTTAAGCGAGCTGAAGGAGGCGTTGGAGGAAGAAGGTTTAGATACGACGGGCAACAAAGCGCAGTTAGTATTGCGTCTGACAGAGCACCTGAAAGCAGACGAAATCCGCGAGCCGGTAGATGTGATCAATTCACGATTAGATAATATGGAACGAATGATTCAACAACTTGTAATGGGCATAGAAAACGTGATACGAAGTAAACCTACGGAAAACGTGAGCGAAAAAAATGAAAATCAGAAGACGGAAATTACATCTACAGTGGTTAACGATTTACCACAACATGGGTCGGTAAAAGATATCAGCGAAACGATACCCGTGTTCGATCCAACAGATAAAAATGGTCTTACGGTTGGACAATTTATCAATCGCGTCGAAAGATCTCTTAATGCATTCCAATGGAATGAAAAACGGAATATTAAACGGAATATAAAACGGAGTATTAAACGGAATATTAAACGGAATATTAAACGGAATATTAAACGGAATATTAAACGGAATATTAAACGGAATATAAAACGGAATATTAAACGGAATATTAAACGGAATATTAAACGGAATATTAAACGGAATATTAAACGGAATATTAAACGGAATATTAAACGGAATATTAAACGGAATATTAAACGGAATATTAAAACAGCGAAAGATTTCGAGAGGTTTTGTACTCGGAACCATATTCGACATATTAAAAATGCAGTAAGAACTCCACGAGCAAATGCTCATGCCGAACGGACTAATCGAACAATATTATCGATGCTGTTACCAACAAATACGGTTGACAAACGATGGGACGAAAATATGGTAAGATTGCAATGGTGCCTAAATACGATGGAGAATGCGACAACGAAATGCACACCGTACGAGTTACTGTATGGTTATCAACCTCGTGATATACTTCAGAACGCATTAATTCTAACTCTACATAACGACGACACTCTGACTACTGATCAATTAACGGATTTACGCAGAACGATTGCAGAACGAATTACTGATGAGCGAGCTAAAGCTAAAAGCCGATACGACAAGCGGTACTTACAGCCAACGAAATTTCAAGAGGGTGATCTAGTATTAGTCCAAAACGAGCCGTATAGCACGGGTGAGTCGAGGAAACTAGAGCCGCGTTATAAAGCCCCCTTCATTATTACTAAAGTACTCGACAAAGACCGATATGTAGTCAACGATTTACCCAACTCCAAACGAACACAGCGGCAGTACACCTCGGTGTATTCGTTCGATAAGATCAAGCGATGGTGTCAGTTACCTTACGATGACAGTAGCAGCGAGGTTGATGACGACGATGATGACGACAATGATAACGTTGCCGAATCGACGGACAAATCGGGGTCGCTTTGAGATGTCAGGAGGCCGACTGTAAAAACACGAAAAATTAAAATACGAAAATGCAACCATGAGTGTGCAAAAATAGCAAATCGAGCGTTTGACGTTTAAAAAAGGGAGTATGGCGAAATACGACGCGTAGAGTGGAGGTTTTTTTGGTTGCTTTGGAGCGAATGAAATAATATATATATTAAAAACTGCTACTATCAATATAATAAATAAACTAGGTTAAAATCTTAAAAGCTTTGTAAACTGTTTTATTTTACAATAACTTAACACAAGTTAGGAATTCAATCCAACTCAGACTGCAGATACTGTAGAGAAGACAGAAAAACTGCATACCATGTGATTGGGGAGTGCCTAGCATTGATGCACAAGCAGAAGAAACACCTAGGAGGGTATTTCATGGTTTATAAAAATTCAAGACTAGGAAAGATAGGGTCTATACTGTCTTTCATTAAAGCAATTGGAGTTGGAGAAACATTCTAATCCGACCAAGGGGCACAATAGTACTTTTAGGTCACAGTGCACGATTCCTTCTTTTAATAATAATAATAATAATAATGATATAAAACAATTCGTGTAAATAGCGATAGAACATTCCTATGTGACCATAAATAGTAATTTCTAAAACGAAATTTTCTTATTTTAAAATGTTAAAAGTTTTTACTTCTAGCTTTCTCATTCATTTGAAAGTATTTAATAAAACATATTTTATAATATTAAAAATAACTACAAAAAAGCATCACTTTTAATTTTATTTAAAACTGAGTCATGCCGAACATGTAAAGTTGCCACATCCAACATATGAAAACGTTTATATACATTTCATCTGTTTACTATATTTTTGAAATTGAAAACTTTTAGATTAAAAAGATGAAAAATGAAAAATGATTTCATTTAAAAGAAATATATTTGTTGAATTTTTTTTAAAGCTTAATTTTCAATTTGTGAACAAAACAGTGCGATATGGATGAAATGGGTTTGGAAGAAAAAAAATTATACTTTTCACCCTTTCTTAATTCACTACAGGTTTCTTAGTATTAAGTGAGTGACACTATGATGCAAAGTGATGATTGCAAAACATAGCAATATTAATACCAATTTTTAATTTAGAGCTTTTATAGTTATTAAAGTACTAGTTATCACTTACTTTACAGCTTTGATTTTTATATATGTCAGATATATATATATATAAATTTTTACATACAAGATATGTATAGAATCTGCTGTTTGTTTGAAAACATATTTCTATTGTATTTAGATAATATACAAAAGTGATAGGTTATTTCAAGAGAGACTACTGTTATCATTTTTTTAAATTAAGTATACTTATTAAAGTAATTAATTAGTAATTCAAAACGCTGATGATTGATTTTTACAATATTGCCATTTAATAGAAACCATACCAGTAATTTATGTTAAACTTCTAAAACTTGTTTATATTTTAAAGAACATACTGATTTAATAGCCAAAATTTTTTACAGTGCATTTATAATGCATTTATTTTATACACGTGCAACTACCGCGCGTTATATCTAAGTGCAGCACTTGGGTGCACTTTAGCACATAGTGCCGAATGATATGCAGTGCCATTCACACGACAAACGCGTACGCTCTCTTTATCACAACAATAACAATAACAACAGCAAGAGCAACAAAAATACAGCATCAGTGCACAGTAACAGAAGCAGTCAGTGTAGAAGAATTTCAGTAAAGCATTGTGCGACAGGTTGTAAGCTGATCTTTAAGGGTAGCAGTGCTCGCAAACATAACGACACACTCTCAGTATCTTAAAGAGCACTGACTACAAAAAGGATCGGTTTACCTTACGGCAACATCATTTACCAATTGGCTACCGTGCAGTAAACAGTTTTAAAAATTTTTCTAAAAACTTTGATTATTTAATTTTGTAAAATAAAAGTAAATCATAAATATAAATTTTGAGTAAATAATTACGAAAAAAAATGTCTGTTGACGGGCAACGCTTTATGACCAAAACTCAACATTATCGGAAAGTAACGAAACCACTTTTGGAACGTAAGCGGCGCGCACGTATGAATCTTTACTTAGATGAATTAAAAGATCTTATAGTGGATACTATGGAAGCACAAGGCGAACATGTAACCAAATTGGAAAAGGCCGATATACTTGAGATGACAGTGAATTACTTAAAAACGCATAAACATGAAGTTGCCAGAACCATTCGAAAAGATACAGACATTGTTAGTGGCAACAGTGTGAATTATGAGAAATTTCGAGCAGGATACACACAAGCCGCTGTTGAAGTTTCTAAAATATTTAATACGCTACCCGGACTTGATGTTAAGTTTGGTACACGTCTTATGAAGCATTTGGGCTATCAACTAAAGGATATACAACCCTCTATTAAGAAATGTAACGAAACTAAAGAAGTAGAATTTATCAAACCAAAAGATTATCCAGTACGTAGGAAGAGCGCAGAAAATATTCAACATGGTTTAAAAATACAGAATTTACAAGCAAAACCAGGTGAAGACGTTTGGCGTCCTTGGTGATGCAGTTCCATGGTGATGCATTTCCATTTGAATTTGATACCGAAATGAACCTCAGTACGTAATTTATACGCAGCTTTATTAATTTTAAGTAAATTATACAGTTTATTTGTTATATATGCATATTAGAATTTTTTATATTCACACAAATTTTGGTAAATGAATTCTAATTGCATATGTAGTTAGTATTTCTATGTAATATATGTAGTGTTATTTGTGATTTTACTGTGATTTTTTAAGAGTTTAAATCAATACAATTTGATCTCCACATCGAATATATCGAACAAATATTTTTATATTTGTATTTTTTTATATACAATTATGTTTTATTCAATACTTTTTACAAATATCTTTATATTATATGTTAGTGTATAAGTGTATATTGGTTTCTAAAAAAAATATTCGTTCTTCCATTTAAATTGTAAATGACATCACAGTACGTGTGATAATTAATAATCATATTTTATTAGTTTTCTTTTTAAGTTTTATTTCTTTATATAGTTATTCAGTGAAAAATAAACGAAAGCTTTATTATGTAAACTAAACTAAACTTCTTAACATTAAAATATTTTAATCATATAAAAATGATATATATATACATATATATATATATTTTGTTTAAGTGAAAAAAATTTAAAAATTGTTTCGTATATATAATATTGTATAGTTAAAATACAACAAAATGTAGAATCGCAACTCCATTTTGTATTTAAATTTTTATAACAATCGCTACTTTATAATTATTTTATCTCTTATATTACACCCTTTAATATATTTCTTAAACTCTTTCAATAAGTATATTTTAAACTGAATTTCTAAATTGTATTTTAAAGTCAGTCTTAGTTATTTGTATGATATTTAAAATAATGTATTAAATAATATATTATATAAAAATAAATTCTCAAAGCAAAAATTAATATCAATTTTTTTTCATAAATATAGGGATTTACAAAACGTTAAGCTTATTATTATATTCTTTATATTATTCATTATATTATTCAATATATATTCCATTACAACTTTATGTGTGGATAACTTTATTTAGTTATCCACACATTATTATTATTTATCTAATCACTTATCTATTCACTTATTTCTTCAAATTAATTTGATTAATATGAATATAAATTATATTTAAGAAAACTCTATATTAGAATGTTTGTTTACAAAATTCTATATTTACATATTCTCTATAAATTTTATTAAAAGAAATTTATCTGTTGTCCTAAAAGAAATAATTATTAGCATGGATATAAAGAAACTTTTTTTCAATATTTCTGCAATGCATTACGGATAAGAGTTTTTATACATTCGTTTTGGTTACTTTCACTTGTGTTTTCTTTGGAGACTTAAAAAGTGGAATGCTTTGAAGCCACAATAAATATTAATATTACGGATACCCTAACCAAGAATGTTAATAAAAATATATTTTTCTTGGATACTATATAGATTAATGTAAACCAAATATTTTGGAGAATTGTATATAACCTATTTAACCTATTGGGTCAAAACGAAATTGACAAAGGGAAAGAAATAGCTCTCGAATTGAGGATTGTAATAAAAGAAACTAAGCTATTTAGCCAAAGAATCTGTTTCCTTAGATATTATATTAGTGACGGTGTGAGATTACACGGCCTCACAATTATATAGGTATAATACAATTGACAACCCTTTTTTTATTTTAAGATAAAAATACTTTGATTTTTCCATGTTTTATTTTTTCGTACCTACCGACAAATAAGAGAAATGTATCTATAATTTTTGTGAGTGTCCTCTGTATGATCATCTTCGGAATGTAGATGGAGTCGGGTATAAGCAGTTAAAGGCTTATGATTTCAGTGAAAAATTTCAGTGAAATATTTCAGTGAAAAAAATATTTGTTTTATTAAACAGTATGATTAATAAATAATCAATATACATATGTATAAAAATATTTCTTCGATTTATTTCAGGGGACTCTTTAGGCGCTTGATATACCTCCCCCTCTCTTTGATTAAACGCGTAGGCATATTGTCAGTACGGCAGTCTGCTTGTCGTCAAGGCTTCAAGATTCATGTTTAGTAGTTGTCGTGCGCTAGTGAGACGATTGCAATAATATACAGGAATCTCTCTCTCTTATTCGTATCTCCCAGTGGAGCAAAGGGCCTTTATCATCTTTTTATATCATATTCGGTTATTTGATTCACGGTATATGTCACTCCAGGAATACTTCGCTTCTCTTAGTTCTTCTTTAATTGTTTTTCTCCAAGTTTTAGCCGGCGCTCCAGGTCGACGACTGCCTTGAGGATTCCATCTCAGATATGACGTGCAATATTTCCATTGGGTCTGCGTAAATTGTGGCCTACCCAGAGCCATTTACGTCTTCTTATCTCCATAGTAGATGATTGATTTGTAACGGTCCATAGGTTGGTGTTTGTGATGCGGTTGGGCCACCATATTTTTAATATTTGTCGTAAACATTTGTTCACGAAAGTTTGTTTTTTTGTATCAATATCTCTTGTTCTTTTCCAGGTCTCACAGGCATAGGATAGCACAGACTTTACATTGGAGTTGTAAATACGAATTTTTGTGCGGGTGCAGATTTGGTTAGAGCGCCACACAACACGCAACATGCCAAATGCAGATTTAGCTTTCATTAAACGAGAGGCAATGTCTTCGCCCGCACCATTCTTAGTTGCGACTATACTACCTAGATAATTAAATTTATCTACGCATTCCACAACATCTTCTTTTATTTTAAGAGTTTGAGCTGTGTCCTCCCGCCATTACTTTGTCTTGTTGCAATTAATCTCTAGGCCGGCAACTGCTGCATTTATCCAAAGTGCTTCCATATTTTCTTGTAAGTCTCTGATGTTATGGCGTCTTCCAATTGAATGAATGGGTTCTACTGGATACCTTTGTTGCCTTTTAAGGACGCTCGCATTACTTCATCCACCACTATTTTTCGATATTGTTCGTATTAGTATTTAAGATATCTGTTTCTATTTGATTTTTGACTGCTTCTGCGTAATCCTTCTGATGCTAAGCTGTACATAGTTTTCCTGTGTCAAATTTCGTGGTGCTTTTTCGAGTTTGGTTTTGGCTGCTGCAACTTTAGGACTATATTGTGGTCACTGTCTATATCGGCCCCTCTTTTCGCACATACGTCTAATAACGATGATCTCCATTTCGAGTTAATGAGGACGTGATCGATTTGGTTCATTGTTTTGCCATCCGGAGATACCCATGTTACTTTGTGTAGTCGTTTATGGTGGAAAAGAGTGCCTCCAAATACAAGGCTCCTTTCACAGCAAAATTCCAATAATCTGTTTCCATTGTCATTTCTGATTCCTAGACCGGAGTACTCCAAAGTAACGTTCAACATTGGCATTGTCGGATCCTATTTTTGCATTAAAATCGCCGAGGAATAGTGTGATATCTAATTGTCTGACATGACTGTTGACCCAACTGTTCAGTTGGTAGTAGAATTCTTCTTTTTCAACTTCTGACTTTCTTTCTGTTGGAGCATAAACATTAACAACAATTAGTTTACGAGCTCCCGTTTGTTGTTCTAGCGCCATCATTCTTTCATTTATTGGGTACCATCCAAGCACGCCCCTTGCAATCTTCTTGGACATCAAAGAGCCCACGCCTCTACTATGATCTTCTCGTGTCATCCTGAATAGATAAAAACCGTATTTTCATCATTGATTTGACCATGCCCAGTTCTCCTGCATTCCTGCACAGCTACTAAGTCTAAGTTGTAGCCTGCCATTTCTTTCCGGAGTTGGTTTAATTTTACGTCTTCAGTAAGTGTTCGTACGTTCCACGTTCCGAATTTTATACTCCTTTTTATTCCGATATTTGGTCGTTCTATACGACGCGATTGCATGGTATTGGTTTCATTCATCATGATTCTCGTACATGGATTTGGCAATTCCAAAATCCTTGTGCCTGCCTATTTATCATACTATGATTACCCCTCGGAGTAGTATTATCATTGTTGTTGTATTCCTCCATGTTTGATTATCAAGGTTTTGTGAGCCGATGGGTGATGGGCCCAAGAACTCCAGTGTACACATTTGTATAGCGAGCCGCTTAAAACAAGTCAGACGCCCACTGCAGCGAGTTGTTGATGAGCTGCCAAGCCTCGGCGGACCCTTAAATCGAATATGTCGAAGTGGCACCACTAAGGCTCCCTCTCTCGTTTGCCGTGACCTAGAGATCTTGTCTCATTCGTAGGTTGCTTACGTTGCCCAGGTTGCACGACGGGGACGTAAGAGTAGGAATTGAATGTACAGGAATAGGTATTAATAAAAATAATAAATAAAAGAATTAAAAGAGAGAGGGAGAATAATTGAACTTGAATGAGGTGTTCAAACATATGTAGCATGTTACTCATAATTTAATAGGTAATTGTACAATATCCTATGTATGATTTTGTTCGCTTGTATGTACTATGCTAATATTGTTTATAAGAGTAACTGGAAGTGACTGAATTTCACTTTTAACACTTAACTGAAGATGTCACGCAAGTAAGAGCCCACAGCTTCCGCTTCCTAACCATAAGTTTAGCTTCTTAAACGGACAGTTCTGAGAGCTGTGATGAAAAGTGATGTATACGTTTGTAAAATAAGAACATCTATTAATTTCCATTCAATCCAAAGTTGCATTGTCTAACCCGTTGCTGTAACCCAAACAACAGCAGAGGTGTTACATTCACTTCACTCCTCAACAAGAAAGAAATTATATTCAAAACTGATGATTTCAACAGATACTGATAAAACTTCTACAGCGAAATTTTTGTTGGAGTATTATCGTCCTAATTGTTTTACCGTTTTGTTAAGCTTTCACTGCAGGGGTGCACGTAAATCATTGCTGGTGTTCTGTAATTCAAATACTGTATCATTGCAGTGACTCTTTACATAATTTCTAACCATTCGACATCAATAAAATATACATAAAGTGAAGCATGTAAATTTTAAATTCTATAAAATAGTTGCAACTATTCAGTCACACAATGAAAAAGAAACAAACTAATTTATAGAAACTGGTGAAGAATTACTGTGATAGATATGTTATTAGTTATAGATATGTTATTAAATATTTGATAAATATTAAACTAAAGACTCTTCACACATTAAAGTGGACATATATTATTCCACAAAATATAAAGATTTATTTTCATATCTTAAATATGACCTTTTTATTTTAATAGAAAAGTGATTTTAGCAATTTAAATATTATTATCGATTTGAAATATTTAATTATATAGCAATATATTTAATTGTTGCAAAACTTACCAATTTTAGATTCGTACCATCACATTGATTATAATGGGATTTCATCAACAATTTTACAAGTTTTGTTTTTTTTTCAAATTTGAAGATTTTTGGGCGATTTCTTGTTGAAAATATCAGTTGAATATAATTTCAACAAAATTTGGATTAAATAGTTTCTGAAAAAATATTAATAATGAAATATTACTGTAAAAAATGTAAAAATAAAAAAAAAATTAAATTACAAAAATAAGAAATATATAAGATATCGATATACATTTTAATAATTACAATAGATGTATAATTACGAATAAATGTATAAATTGTCCTATATAGAAAATAGTTTGTCCGTGTTTATTCTGGAAACTATGTTGTGAAAGATATTTCTGGTCAGCTGTTCTGCTCCCAGTTGCTATTCTCGATGACCGAACGAGTTAAAAAAATTGTGAATACGGTTCAAACAACCAGCATATAAATGAAATTAATCATAGGCGCTCTGTTTCATTGTGATGACCCTATACTGCACATATTATTTGTGACGTGGTAGAAATTAAAAATACTTGACTTGAAACTTTTGATACATTTGATCTCTACAATAATTTTTTGCTTTTTAAATTTTTTTTACAACAAACAAGAAACAAAAAAAAAACTTTATTAAATTTTTTGTAGCTATAATTAATACGTGAATGATCGGCATTTAATAATAAATGTTGAATACATAAATGTACTCCTTTATGTCTTCGCAAAATTTTGCTCTTGAGTATATGGTAAACTACTTAACTTAATAAACTACTTAGTTCATGTAAATAGATTTTTCTTTTCGGTACACAAAAAAATCAGTGTAGGTATTTGATAATACAACTAATCTATTCTGTTATACTTTATATTGAGTTTTTGTTATTAAGTATTAACAGTCATTAACAGAAAGATGCATATACATCTTAATAACACCCTGCCAATAACCTGTAGAATACTCAACTAAATGGGTTGCGTAAAGTTAAAAGCATTAAGAGCAAAATAAGTTTATAAAAAACCTATTCCAAGTATTGAAATGGGATCGTTAATTGGCTAAGTGGTACATTGTCTCGTAATATGTGTCTTGTTTTTTGAATATATTAAAATGTTATTGGAAAACTTTTAAAGGGTTAGATGCATAAGATAATAATGGAGATTCATGTGTTAACTATTATAATTTAAAATATTTATAAAAATTATATAAATAAATAAATGTGTTCATTTTGTTTGAAAATATAAAAAATTTATTTTAAATAAAATGTATTGTTTTTGTTTATTTAAACATATATAAGCATATCCCGCACAAATGTTTAGCCCAACATGGACCCCACTTCTTTCAGATCATTTTTGATTAACAGATGCGTGTTAGTTCTTCAACTTAAAGTTAATCTACAATGGAAAGTGTGCATTGCTTGCAGCAATCACATATTTTCTTGTAACATCTCTTATGTAAACTAAAAGTGTGTCCATCCCGAGACAAGCGAAATGTACGCAGAACTCTGTCTTCCAACCAGGCAACATAATAGGTGCAGAGGGAAAACGCTAGTCACACGCAATGCACACGATCATTCTACGTCAAAAGAAATCGTGTGGAAATGGTAACAAGTGCGCACGAAGTCTTCTGAAAAAAACGACTTAACAGACAGGAAGTCGTTATGATATTTTCCTCTTTGACCCTGTATGCATTATAGAATACTTTCCCACGATTTTCAAACATGATCGCTTGAATTTAAATTTTCTAATCGATTATATATATCATTTATGCTGCTTTTTATGCTTATAATTCTTTTGGAACTACAGAACACACAATATTAAAATCCTTTGCACAATAACACAACAAAGAATAAGAACAAAGCCCAAAATATTTAAAAATACAAAAAGAACATAACAAAATAAAATCCTTATAAAAATTCAATCAGAAATATATATAGCACAGCTGTGGTAAGTTACTGTATATGCCATATACGCCGACACCCTTCCGTCTTCTGTTGCTTATTTATTTTTGTGGCCAGATTGCTAAATTCTCATGTTCATGCATTGGACTCCTTAATGTGTTTCCTTATTTTGTTCATATCATTTTGGGCAGGTGAGCAAAAATCGTGTGAGAAACTTACAACGAAAGTGTTTCCCACGGTTCAAACGAAAGTCCTTGCAGCTTGGCTTTGGATTGCGTAGATTTCCTCCCTTGACTTGATAAGGGTGACACACAATAAGAAAACAGTCAAGACGTTGACGCTATGAAAATATATCGGGGTTGCATGCAGCCAAAGGATCACGGAATGCATTTCGCTCGTTGTACAGAACGTGCGGGGCTGTGTGCTAGCATGCAAAGAGAAGCACAAAAGGTAACAAGAAAAATTCTTATTGTCGCTCATTCTTGCTACCTGTGTTGGTATTTCTGGTACAACGTTATATGCTCCAAGAATGTGCTGAGTTGTGTCATGTTTAGATTCCATCGAAGTAACGAAAACAAGGGTTGGAATTAACATTTGAGCTGTGCGTGTGCGCAAAACCAGAACTGAGGCAGAGAGTATAAAAACTAGCGAAGTCGAGCTGGTGTTATCATTTTACATTCAACACTTGAGAAAGAAACATTTAAAATTAAGAAATTTACTCATTGTGTGGATAAATTTCAAAGATTTTTAAATACTGTGATATAAAAAACAACAACATTAATTACAACAAAATGGCAGCAGCACAAATATCAGAGATGTCAAAAACCTACCAATATCGTAAAGTTATGAAACCCATGCTTGAGCGAAAGCGGCGCGCACGAATTAATAAGTGTTTAGATGAATTAAAGGATTTAATGGTTGCTACATTAGAGTCGGAAGGTGAACATGTTACACGCCTTGAAAAGGCGGATATTTTAGAACTAACTGTGACACATCTACAAAAGCTCAGACAACAACGTAAACAAGCTGCTGCAAAAGGCAATACGACAATGTCACAGGCAGAAGGTTTTCGTTCTGGTTACATACACGCTGTCAATGAAGTATCACGCTCGTTATCTGAACTACCCGGAGTCAATGTCAACTTAGGCACACAGCTTATGACACATCTTGGACAACGTTTAAATCAATTACAACCTGCTGTAAAGCCACCAGTACCTGTTACATCACCACTCTCTGTGCACATTGGTAATGTCAATTTTCGTGGGCATTACTCTGTACCAATTTCACCTATATCCAGTTACACCGGCAGTCCGAACTCAAGCATCAGTAGTGAAAAGCATACGCCTTTACTGGTTACTTGCCCTAACTCACCTATAGATGTTACAACTGTTGATATTAATATTGATGTTGAAGAAGAAGATAATGTCTGGCGACCTTGGTAGAGTTTAAAACTTTGGATATATGCAAAACAAACGACTCAGTGAATAAAGTCTTCCATGCGAACAAAGCGTTTATGCTATGTTTCGCACTTAAGTAATTTAATTGATTAAGAAAAGCTTTAAATAAGAGGCATATGCTGACTGCTTCATACAAATGCAGTTGATGTGATAGCATAATTTAATATAATTTTTTGATTATTATTTATTTTAAAAGAACTGTTGTTAACTTCTTATTTTATAAAAATTAAAAATTGTCATTTAGTTTTTAAGTATAGGATAAAATATATGAAAATATAATGAATTAAATTAAAAAATTCTTTAATTAAAAAAATATGATTTTTATTTTAAATAATGCATAATAAAAAAAATCATAAGATATACCCAAAATACTTGTATATCCGAAACAAAGAAACATTTTTATATATATCTTATTTTTTAATTATACAAGTTTTATAAAGATTTAAGAAGAAATTTTTATAGAGTTTAATATTAGATATATAATTTAAATATAATCTTATATATAAAAATGAATCGAAAAATGTGGTGGTAAGCGCATAACTCAACAATACCTGAACCAATTTGGTCAATTCTTTTTTTAAATGTTCGTTGAAGTCCAAGGATGGTTTTTATGGCGAGAAAAAAATCGAATTATTGCTATTCAATAAAATTCATATTACATAACAAACACTCACTGTTGTCTAAGCAACATCATCAGTATTTCAAATATCTCAAATTTCAAACATAATAATTATATACTGTCATTAGTATATAAGCTGTAAATAATTTAAATACATACTATTATTTTACTGAGTTTACAATTTTATATCGTGTTTTGTGCAAAGTATTTAATTACCTATGATCACTAATTATTGCATGTGACACAATTTATATTCGATATGCCTCCTGTAAGACGAAATAATTTATTTAGAAGAACCCGAAATGCTACAAACATTACTTTTGTAGCAACTAATTACCGATCTAATCATACTGCACAAGAACGTGACGACCGAAATGAACTTAAAAGAATTCAGATTAAGTTGGTTAACCATTATCTCCACTATCCAAGCAAACCACTCACTTTTTTAGATTATTTTTCAATCAGGTTTGAATCCTAAGTTCGCCTCTGAGTTTGAAACCCTCTGGCAGACATCTCAGTCGGGGTTTTTTAGTGGATCCTAGAAGGGTGGCAAAAGTTCTTGGAAGAGAAGATACTTTGGTCACCCGAGCTGAACTCCACACACCAGGGTGACTGTTCTGTTCAGGAGATTTTTTTGTCCCAACTATTAAACAGGTAGGAACAAAAAACTGCCACATTTCAAATCTTTTTGACAGAACGAAGTCTGTCGGGTCTGCTAGTTTAATAATAATTTTAATATTGTATTATGGTCTCTACATACATCTTATATATGTATGTGTCAAAGAATTCAGTATAAAATTTTATTAATGATCATTGGTGCTACATAGTATATTAGAAATAATAACGTTAACAAAGATTTCTATATCCCAACCACAAAAACTAAGTTCATAGACGTATGTTAATCATATTAAAATACGTTAATTCTCTTGCCAGAGCTAATCGCCCAGCCACTAACTTAAAATAGTTAAAAAGGAAATAAAATCCTTCATTTTAAAACTTATCATGTGAGCTTTCGATAGCGTCTTTGAGTAAACCAAACTCTACGTTACTTATTTAAACTCACAGTATTGTCGTGAGACCCATATAATTTACAACTTGTGAGGCACATAATTTACAAGCTGTCCTTGAATACTTACGCATTTTAATTATAATTTTGTATTAAAATTTCTTTATTTTATGACATACCTACGCTATAGACATTGTCAAATAATTTAAAAGGTAATATGGACAGAAATAACATATATTAAACACAAAAACAACGATCTCAAATAAAAACATTGAAATAAATATATAGTGTGTTGCCGTCTTGCTTGGTATATACGCTTGAATTGTTTTCTTAGTCCAAGAAATGGAAAAATCATATGTAAGGCCTGTGTATTTTATATATACACCGAGTGGGTGGTAGGGTGTTTGAATCACTTCTACGTAAAAAAAACCATTCAAAATTTAAAAGTTATATTTTATTTCATTTTTAGTCCATAAAATATCGTTTAAATACATGCACATTTTTGGTAATCAACAATACGGCCTTTTACTTAAATGAATTCGGAAAACATGGTGGCTCAATGGTATTGAAATTATTGATTCTTAAATCATCATTTTAATCGATCTAACACAAATTTCTTGGTACATATGAGTATCAGTAAAATTATAGTTATTTTTGATAATCTATGTAATAGTTAGCTCGATTTAAAGAATGATTACAGTAAAACGGTGGATAATAGAAGGAAAACTCCTTCACTGAAATTGTTAATAAGATAAAAAGTTATTTATACATGAAAATTGAACAAAAAGATTTTACAAACATTTTAATAAAAATTGAGTTTTCTATATACACGTTTGAAAATATTAATTAATGGATGAAGTTTAAAATGCACACCCTTTTGTATGGTTTTTTCATTTGTGAGACCAAAAAATGTATTTCTCGCATTTATGCTGTATATCATGAAAATACCCTGTATATATAAATCTTAAAAAAATGTATTAAGTAAAATGACAATCAAGCACATATTTTCTTAAAATTTTAATTAAAGGCTGTAATTTCCTTTTCAGTGATTTCAAATATTTAATTCTTTCAAAATCAATGGCGATGGAATGACGATGAATATTTTTTGACAAAAAGAAACGAAATTGAGCTCGAATAAAAATGTATACATTTCCTGGCACGATATTAGTAGTTCGTCCAGCAAAAAATTTAGGTAACAACGCGAACAGTAAGAACTGGACTCAGCACAAAAGCGTGATTAATAGAAAATGATCTTTTTTAAGGTCCGAAATTTTTTATTAAAACTAAGAAAAAAAAAACCTAGAAATAAGAATAATAAAAAAAATTGTAGAAAAGTAGCTAAATCCTGTCGATAATTTGAACACGTGTGCACACAATTAAAAATTTCAGTTTTATTTTCAGTTTTTTTAATAATAATTTTTTGTGTTGAAAATGAAAAAAAATAGGCCATAAAAGGCAGCATAAAATGCATTCTGAGCAAGTTTTGTGCACACAGATAGGAACCCATCCAAGCAAAGGAATCTTTATGTTGGCTACATACGAGTACTATACAATAAGAATTTAGAAATCTTCATACAAATGAAAATGTAGATAAAATCAGCGTGCCTAATCAGTTTAGTATGGTCTTGTTTTGACCCCATGTAGCTGGGTGATATGCTGTCGTGCGCTGTTGTTGTTGTTATTATTGTGGCATTGTTGCAACAACAGCACGAGTTGTTTCACTTTAAAAAAGGATGCTATATACAAGTACAACACACGTAAAAGGGACCAAAAATAAAATTTCAGTAAAGTTTTTGAGTTTTTGTCAGAAAAAAAATACAAAAAAGAAAATCAAAGTAAATAAATCCTAAGAGTGGACCCCTATGTGAGCAGCATAATGATCTGCTAAACAACTCGTTCGAATCCATACAATTTGTGCGTCGATTGTGTTCTAACTCTTAAGATGTCAGTTGATGCTGTTCTCGCTGCTGCCGCATACTTTTATCACGTGGCCTCTAGTGTCTTACAAATACATCTACCATTTTTTTTTATTATTACAGGGTTTTTTGTTGATGCTTCTTTTATTACTGATTGAGTTTTGTCTGATCACGTTCCAAATTTAATGCTTTAAAATTTGTTTTATGCTTTATGCAAGAATTATGTTTTTTTTGTTATTTATTTTTATGTGCCCAAACACAAAATAAAAACTAACAATGTAATTTATTTAGCGTTTAACCGATGCAACAGTGTTATCCAATATCTTAAAGTCTCCGATTTCATTAATGTTAGGTATTGATTTTATTTTTTTAAATGCTTAAGTGCAAGTGTTAGTCGTGGTGTTTACAAAGAAGAAAACGAAAAACCCTTTACGACTTAAATTACCAACAATGCACTTGTCATTTCACTTTTGGAATGTTACTATTAAACTTATAGATTATGCTACAGAAATTTAGTTTGGGGTGCCACAGCAGATAAATTGTGGTCTTTCGAACATGCAGGCGCAAGCAAAACACACTTGGTGGTAAATTGTATTCGAATTGATAAGTTGGAGATAAAGATCTATAAGGGTACCACACGTATCAATATGCTGTACGAATATACAGCATAAATTAATGTGCTGTCTTCAAGAAGAGATAAGGGCAAAAAAAATTGAACTTATTACGATGGTATGCAAATGAACTTAGACGAGATTCAATTTAGTAAGGACCAAGTTCAAAAAACATTTTTGTTCAACTAAAACAATAAATAAATAAAATTAATTGCTTTGTTATATCCACTCAAAAGCTAAGAATATATATAAAGTAAAGAGTTTTGTGTAAATTTAAACGCCAACAATTTAGTACTTCATCCTGTTATGTGTTATTTGGTCGTTCTATTAATAATTTAAAACAAGAAAAAAAGATTTTCTAGTGATAACATATTCGTAAACAAGTGTCGTAGCAATTCTACGGAAATCATTTTTAATTACTTATACATTATATTTAATGAACACAAAATACAAATAAAAGTGTTTATAAATATATTAAAACCACAAATTTTAAGTTTATTAGAAATTTATTGCATTTAAGAACATCCAAAAAAAAAATTAAAATCGTAGTTATCTTAAATATTTTCCAAATAAACAAATATTTTTCTACAAATTCACAGAAAAAATAGACTGTAAGTATTCAAGGAACAAATTTGCAAATTAAGATCAGTTCCCAACCAAAGTACAGTCAAACTTCCATAACTCGAACCTATATAACTCGAACCAAAAACAGTGCACCAAGGCTTTAGAGAGCAAATTACATACAATTCTGCTTCCATAACTCGAACTTCTATAACTAGAATTTCTCTATAACTAAAACAAAAATTTTGTATGTGCCGACAGGAATATGGGAAAGTGCATTCTATAAGTCGAATTTTTATTTTAAGTATAAATGCATTTTGCTGTTAGGGGAAGTCCCTTTTTCCGAACCAAATGTTTTATTTTTTCTTATGTATTTCTTATGTCGCTTCTTTGTGCAAATGCCAGTCACTGCCAGCGTGGTTTAAAGTAAATAAA